GTGTTGTGGTGGTACAATGTTCTAAGTGTTTGGGCAGCCCAAACACTGCTGGTGGCATGGTAACTAGAGGAGCAAAACTTGGATGGCTTGGGATGTAGACAGCCCATGCTGGTATATTTGTAACAGCAGGTTACCACCCAGAACATATGCCTTGGTTAAAAATGCTCAAGGGAGGGGATGTGCAGACGTTTCTGGAGGTAACCTGAGTCCTGGCAAAAACTCCTGAGAATCACTGAGAGTCTTTCCATTTATTTCAGGGGCTWCTTTATGGGATGTGAGAGTTAATTTCGTGGGTAAATGGCTTGTCCATAAGGAAAGCAGCATCACCAAATCAGAACTCARGATGTCTTGTGAGACCTTTTGAGGTCATGGTAGCAGCTCTGAGGCTGTTTCCCAGGCTGTAGCCTAGATTCTGTCAGGAAAACTGTCACATCWGGGATAGCCTGTGCTCTGTGATGGTCAGGTCACTGCTTCAGCAGATCCACAGAAGGAAYAGAAGGATATAATAGCCAGGTCTGACTGTGGCTGTCTTGGTAAGTGGAGACCAAAGGAGCTTTGGTGATGGGGCAGCTGCTCCCCTGGAATATGACAGGGTTTGCTAAAGAGRAGCCAACACTTCAATTGCTTTACTATTCCCCTGAGAATCAGGAAACCCCACAATATGGGAAACTTCATCCTTTCCTGTCTCCTTTAACGGTAAACTTGAATAATGAAAACCAAAACGAAGCCCCAAATCCTACTTAATGTAATTATAGAAATAAATGCAGTTCATCTATTCCATATAATAGCTCCTGGTGATAGAGTGGATTTCTCCCCTCCTTTTGTCTTTGTTCTCTTTTTGAGTTGAGCATCCCCTTACACTGCATCAGAAGAAAGCATAAATAACCTCAGTTATTTGTCTTTGTTGCAAAAAAAACCTAATCACAGCCTTTACAGTCCCTCTTATGGGTCTTCCCAGTGCACTTCCACTGTCTTTGTCTTTCTCTTTCCCCTTTTGACTTTGCCATGTCCCTTTTGACAAAGAATGACCGGAAGCACATAAACGATCCAGACTGGGCATTGCTGCTGCTGAGGTGCCTAATAGGATTATAAGATTTTCAGCGTTAATCCTTATCCTATTCTTTAGGCAGACTAACCTTTTACTTAGATTTTTGCCTCCTATTGCACAATWATTTGACTCTTCAGTGATTTCTTTACAGCTGTTGTTTTGTCCTTTTTCAAGGCAATTGTAATTAGTGTACAGCTCCATCATGGAGCAGTGTAAGAACTGTCAGGCTGTTGTGGTTATTTGTTTAGTGCTGCAAGTGAGCTGTTCCCAACTCATTGATGGATGTCACTACTTCCTTGCCTCTCCCTATACCCTGAGGGTATGTGCTTGCATCGGCCCAGACTACAGAACATTTCTGTAGCTTTAAATGWAGCAACTACTCTGCATCAAACTCTGGGAGGTTTGATGATCAGGACCCTGCACARAGGGTAAAAGGGACAAAGCTTTCCTGGGTACATGGCTCATTGAAAGRAGCTTGAAAGATAGAAATGGGTAGGGAGTGGGTTGACACTGGTTTCCTAAGGAAATAAGACTGAAGTAGTCTGTTTTTCCACTGCTGCAAAACTTCGGGTCTGCTAAGTGGTTGTGGCCAAAATAGATGGGTCATAGAGGTCTCAAATATAAATTCTCTACGTTATTCCTAAGAATTRGCTGCTGGATAGGAGATTGTCTCATAGCAGTGTCTGCCAGGAGGTAAAAGCTGCAGTGCTGACTCCATAGGTAGCTCATGAATTTGGGTGGCCAGCACCAGGCAGACAATCAGTGCCTGTAACAGAAGGAATCACARCACATCTGAGTTCCAGGTCAGCTGTGGGAGGGAACTGCAGGGCAGTCCTGTGATTTTGGGGATGTGTGAAGAAAASTGAAGGTCCTATGGTCTGATTCAGAGAACATCAGAAGTGTTGCAGAAGAAGAATATAGAAATGAGGAGGACTRGGGAATGATATGATTGGAATTTGTGTGGCTTGGGCTGCTGTCTCTCAAACTGGGGACTGTCAGGATGACTGCCAGGGAACAGCTTGTTTTGGAGATGATGGACTGGTAGGCAATGGGGGAGCAAGGAGCACAGGAGCTCCAGGATGTGAGAGAATRCATAAAGGGAACAGCAGAGGAAAARGGTGGTGGCACTGCACCCATTAAAGGAGAGAAGGAGCCAAGGTGGGATGTGATAAAAACCCAAACCAACAGTAGTTAGGAACAATGTTTTTCAGGCATGGAAAGCAAAGATAAGTTACTTCAGCTTGTTAGGCTGGGAGGGGGGATGATGGGGACAGGGGAGAGAGGTTTAAACACTGGTGCATCCCGGTGGGGTAGAAACCACACAAAGGAGGTGGAAGGAAGACTTGGACAAGGAAAGATTTTATGGCTTAGGCAGAGGGACAAAGGATGAGCCTTGGGTTTGTGTATAGCATGCAGAATGAATGATTTGGCAACAGTCTGAGCATGGAGATGAAGGAAGGCAGGAATAAACGATCACTTTAATTACGCAGGAAGCTTGGATGAGGGGGAAGTGAGAATTATTGTCTTCAGCAGGGTAGAGGAACTGAGGGAAGAGATAGAGGATTGATGAGTGTGTTTGAATTAAAATCAATTGTACTCAACCCTGATCCAAAGTCAAGTGAGGACAGTAACTTCAAGAGACTTTTTGGAATAYCCCTATATGCAAATATTTGTCTAAAAAACCCTGAATATGGTTTACAGAAATGCCCAGACATCTTTTGTCTTCCTTTGTAGGGTGTGCCCAGAGGTTAAGTGACCCCAAGCCACTTAGTAAGCCACAGCAGTGTCAAGACTGGTTTCCAACATTCCTTAAAATAATTTTCAGTCTGGTAAACCACAGCAGTAATGAATGTCCATATATGCACACAACTCACTGCAAGGCAAGTCAGTGAAACTCTCAATCTCCAGTTTAGGAAGATCACATCACCTTATTMACTGTCCCTTGCTCTACACATGCAAAATTACTGTAATTTCCTTCCCTCGCAGGATTTCCCCCCCCCCCCAAGTATTTATTGTCTGCAGCTAATTATTTTCTAGTGTTCCTAATAAACCATTTGCTTCTTCAGGATGCAGTGACTTCTGTTACCAGCACAAACTGAGGAAATGAATATCAATCATTCAGTGATTATTTGCAGGAAATAAAAGCGTGAGATAGCAGCCAGCCCAGGCCAAGARGGAAGAACAGCATTGCAGCGCTTTTTATAAGGAGAGCCAAGAATATTCATATGCTCAACTGTTATTTTCTGTATATTGTAGCTTTCTTCCTTTTGTGAACTCTACCTTCTTTGGATTAGGTCCTGCTACCACTGAACTCAGAATATTTGTTATTAACCTCGGTGAGAACAGGATCAAGCCATTGTCTGTGTGTTTGTCCTTGCCTTAACCCAGGCTGGTGTTTGGTGGGATCCTGCAAGGGACAAAACCGCTTTTGGTTTCCCAGAATCTTTCTTGAGTGTTTGTATCTGATCCTTGCAGATAGCACAGCCCATGTGGTGAAATAAGTTTGGAACTGACTGTTTCCAGCAAAGCTTTTTGAAGCCTCTGTAAAATGTTGAATCTCCTCTCAGTAGCTGCTTTTCTGAAGTCTGCATTGTGCTTCAGGTTCTGCTAAGCCATGCTACAGTGAGCATGATGAATAGCAGGCAAATTGCCTTCAGTCACTGCTTTGGAAATCAAGATGTGTGCTGGCTCACCCCATTCTTTCATAAATATCTTCCTGGGCTCCGGGAAGTTCGATGGTGCRCCATATCCCAGAGTGTTAATTTTTAATGTCTTATGCACGTAATGGACTTGACTGTAATTATGAGTCCCACRGCACACAGTCACTGCTGGCAGGATGGAAAAAGATGACTGCAGATCTGTGTGGCTCCACAGTTAGGGATTGAAACATTGATCATTTTCATTCCCAGGAGCAGAGGAAACAGTTGCCTGAATTTAAAGCAAAAGCYTCAATGGAAAGATGGGTAGTTGCAAGCCAGTAAACATTACCCTGCAACCTATTAAATTTAGACTTTGCAGCATCATCTTCCTGCATTGAATAAAATTGGCTGAAACCTGGGCAGGGCAAAATGGTTTTGACAAGCCTATGCTTACGTCCAAAATAATCCAAGTGAATAAGCATGTAGGCAGTGATGCAGAGAGAGCCTGGTATAAAAAAATCTTCACCTTTTTTTTTTCAGTAGTGCTATTTTTAACTTACAGATCCTTGTTTCTTACATGAAATCTTGAAGCTGACAGCATCGCTTTCAGACTTGAAAGGAAGCTGTCTGAAAGAACAGCGCAGCTGGGATTTTTAGGCCTGATCATGTTGGCATATCTTGGTGGGCAGATTCCTCCTCCCTTCATGAGCTCAAATTGACTTTACTGAACAGTGTCAAGTTCTTCCCTGTATCAGGTTTARTGTAGRATAAGGCATCCAAACCCTTGCAGCMGTAGAACTTGGATCCTGCTTTATTATCTGCCAGCTTTTCTGARTATTGAATAGAGGTAGAAGGGATTKKAGACMAATTATYCTCTCTCTGAAAGCAATRCTCCCATATTCCTGGTRTCACWGTAGATTGTTTTGAAATTTTTAATTTCCTATTTTTTAAATTTCTGAAAATTTTAATTTTGAAATTGTTTTGAGGTTTTTAATTTCCTCTTGAAAGTGTGATGGTGGCCTTTTGTGTTTGGGTTTTTTATGTGTGTAACATATATAGTACAGCTTTGGAAAAGGTTGCAAAAGGAAAATCAGCCTGAATCTCTGTTCTTTATTCAAGTCACTGGCAATAGCTGCTCTGAATTCAGTGAKGCAAAATCACTCCTRTACTGCACTTAGCSCACTCAAGCTTGAATCAAATCCTARCACTTTTTGCCAGTGCAAAAACCACATTTAAAACACAAGAAAAAGAAATCTTTCCCTGTGACAGGAAATCAATTTAATCCGTTTATTGTTTGTTTGTTTGTTTTCCAGGCTTATATTTGGCACACTTTACCCMGCATATTATTCTTACAAAGCCGTGAAATCAAAGGACATCAAAGAATATGTGAGTAATGAGGTTTGTGGCTATGTTGGGGGTTTGTTTTCTAAAGATTGCTCCTCACCCCATTGTAAAGGTGTTGCCTGTATTCTGGGGAAGCTCATAAACCAGTGCAAAGGGCCTGAAGGTGGACTGGCTGATTGGTGGGCACAAATGAGGGATTGGTGGGCACAAATGAGATTTGGGTTTGTGCTTCTGGCTCCTCTGCAGAGTTGATGTGCTCCTTGACAAATGTGTGCTGTTCCTCTGCTGGTGAGATATACAGCCAACTTGAAAGGCATTTGGCATCCAGAGCTTTGTGTGCTCTCCTTTGTTTCTGAAGAGCAGCATAAATCAAAGCCTTTTCAAAAAGCCTTGAAGCTTTAACTGCTCGTTCAAAACAAGGATAAGGGGAGGCAACTCGAAGTACATATGACTGAATCCTCAGACAGAAACATCCTTCCTTGTGAAGYGACCTATTTACAGGCAGGTCTGGCAACTGGTTGTGCTCTCTATTTTTTTTTCTTTTTTTCTGAAAAATCTTCCCTGGGTCCCAGTTTCTAAAGGCATACGGGGCCATCGGGGAAAGTGAAATACAGGAGAAGTAGAGGCACTTGGATGCCATTGGGGTCCTGTAGGATTTGTAGTGCCCTTCACAACCTGAGCTCTGTTAACTTGATTGAACCCAGCTCAGCCTCCAGATCTTGACTCTTCAATCCTCTCAAGGTCCTGGGGATAACAAGCCCATTTTCTCATCTGGATAACAGCATAGATGTCTAGCCCATTAAATCTTTAGTGCAAGCTCAATCTGGGGCTCACTGTGGCTGCTAGGAGTTTTTTTATATAATTTTCCTCGTGCAGAAATATGCTTTGGGTATTTTAGAATAAAATAAGTGTAAGTGTTACAGGGCACAGCAGATACTTAAGGCAAAATGTGTCTGCAGCCCTTGCACAGCTGTGCTTCCCAGAGCCCGTACACTCTTCGCTTGAAAATGATGAAGATGTGCACAAACATCTCCAAGCAGTGTCTGCCACTGATATTTATCATTTCCACAGTCCCTTTCTGRAAAGTATTTTGTTGAAGAGTCCAATTCCTGTTGGAAATTTAATTGTAAGAGAGGAACTCACATCAGACACTTGTGGTTGTGATGCAAATGTGAGGACAGTTGATCTAAGACCTGGTCTGCCCTTGCAATTGATTTCACTTTAGCACACCAGTCATGGCAATGTATCCATTATGGCCTGATAAAAAAAATAAATGAAGTAATAATTTACACTGACAGAGGAGTAATTTATTAGTCAAAATTCATATCACTCTAAAGTAATTTTATTCTGCTTGGTAATAGTCATTTTGATAAATGTTTTAGTCTGATCCAAACCCATCCACACCAGGTTTTCATTTGGAAGTGTTTAGAAGTTTTGCTGGCAGTAATGTCTAACTGAAAGAGCCATGCTGGCACTGAGACACTTTGGAGTCAGTTATGTAAAAAGTCTGGCAGAAGCTGCCCTGGGAAGATGATGCTCTGAAGCATTTGGCAGTGCCATTATTGCTGTAACACTAAATATAAATATACACATAAATATAAATCCCARGAGAGCAGTTATGTAGTAGAATGAYAGGTGGTCAGGGAATAATTCCAGTAGCTACAGGGAGATGGAGACTACCAGTACCATCCCMACTGTGTTGGGGAGACGATGGGGAAATAATTTCTAAGCTGGTGAGATAMAGATTTATTGACACTTCCATCTTCCATTCTTCAGGGCAGCACCTGATGTAGGTATCCCTCTTGTACTGACTTCCCTCCACCCTTCTCTTAGTCTATTGCAATTATACCAGCCTTAGCTAACATGGTCTAATCTCTAATTCATGGATTTTCATGGATTTTACTTCCTTAAGCTTTCTAACATTCCAGCAAAGCTGCTTAGGGATCTCAATTKTCAAATAAACCTAATTAAACAACAGTTGTCAGTTAAATTAACAACCTTTGTCTCACTATCTCTTTTCATCCTAAGAAGAGCCAGTACTGCCTATATCAGAATAGTTGAGCTGTGCTTTTAAATGCCATTTAGTGTTCAGTGACAAAAATTCCCGAATTCCTGAATTACTTGAGGAACTAGAGTTTATCTGACCAAGTCACCATTCCCGAAGACTCTTTTTTGTAACCCCAAAGGAAACCATCCATCCATGACAGTGGAGTTCCCTTAGCTGAACTCAGACACAGCACAGCACATGYTCTCACTACCAGTGTGAGGTAAAACACTCTCCCCTAAGTCCCAGGTAAAGGATTTAAGCTATTTCCCCTGCCCTTGTCCCTACACTTGGTGTGAGTGTGGGTGGGAGCAGGCACAGCCACTCCAGAGGTGCACACAGGTTCAGTAAATTGTGGTGAGCTGATTGTTCTCCTGAGCCCTGGATCATGGGGTGGGCTGTTATGTCTTTACCTTTTTCTAGCTATAGATATTATGTAAGTAATTACATTTTGTCTTAACCAGAGTTTGGCCAACAACCTTATATTAAAATTTACTATTGTTGAGCCTAGTCAGTCTTTTAATGCTCTGTGCTAGGGCTGTCATGCTCTACTGGCCACTGGAGTTTCTGTAAGGACAGTGTCAGGCTACTCTTCTTTTCCTGAGATCAGTCCTAAAGGCCACAGTCCCCTTCCCAAGGGCTTTATAATCTGACATGTTTTATGTGCTGAAGTGGGCAAATTGGCACCTTCAAGTCCACAGTAATTGCTAAATACCCAGCAAGGAGGGTGAGGGGGTAAGAATGTTTTATCCTGTGAGAGTTATTCTGTGCACTTGTGCTTGTAAGAGATAGGTTGAGACTGTTTTTGTTTACCAGGTCAAATGGATGATGTACTGGATCATATTCGCGCTCTTCACGACAGCAGAGACATTCACAGATATCTTTCTTTGCTGGTAAGCACCAGAGGGGAGAGGATCTTTGKCATGAGATGAAAAGAAAATAGAAATGTTTGCAAGGGAGAAAAAGGTGCACTGACTCCTGTACAGAGGAACTGCTTCCTTTCTCAGTGCTGTCACAGGAAAAACACTAAAGAAGTGGAAATGCTCAGTGGTGTCTCATTAGTGGGAAATCATTACTGGAGTCTCAGGCCCTGTCTGTCAGAGAGGCACAGCTGACTGCCCAGTTGGATGCTTGCAGAGGTCATCACATAAATAACAGTTGATTTAGCTACAGGCAGAGTTCTAGACTTGCCTGGCTGTATCCTACAGTAAATACACAGACCGTGGATCAGGTACAAACAGCCCTGCAGCACAAGACTCTGTAGGTTGCTGTGTGGGTGGTTGTATCTGAGATGTTTTACCAGACCCATTCTGTATCTGAGATGTTTCACCAGACCCATTCCTGCTTAGGCTGGGTTTCTGGTTTGATGCAGGACAGTGGCAGTCCATACTGATGTGGTGCCACTGGAAGGACTCCTGGTGACCTCTGTCAGGATGAGAGCAGATAAATGCCCAATTATCAGATTCAGTTCTTTTTGGATGCTCAGGTTTGGAAGTGTTTGYTGCTTGGTTGTCCTTTATAGTAAGGCCTTTCTACCAGAAATCAGTGAGATCAATAGACTTTAGGATGAAAATGAAACTGTAGTGCATGGCCCTTACTTCTAGCCTGTTCCTGCATAGCATTGCATGCCTTGAGTGAGTCCTCCAGACAAAGAAAATTGGGAGAACTTGGCAACATGTCAGATCTATTGAAAAGGAGATAAAAGACATTATTGTCTATTTAATTTACATGCAAGATCTACCTCCCCTGTGTTCATCTGAAGCTTTTTTGTTTTTGGAGGATGAATTATGTGGGTCTGTCAGGAGGAATGGCAGAGGGCTTATCCAGCCTGTGAAATCAGGTGTGCTGTAGAGATGCTCAGTGAGGAGGGAGACCAACCTGGCACATCCATGCTCAGATCAGAGCATCAMAGAGGCCTGTTGGGTCACACCTGGATGCTGCTGGCCCAGCTGGCTTGGTGACAGCACTGTGTGGCACAGCAGGGACCTGTCAGGGTTCAGCTGGGCTGGTCCACAGCCATCACAGGTCTTTGCACTGCTCTTGTTGGCCCCTGCCTTCAGAGGGTAACAATCGTTCATCACACTGCTGGCAGCAACATGCCTGCCCACATGAAGATGCTGCTGGCTGGCAAGTCTTGAGCTCTGGGCTTTGTCCTCCAGAAAAGAGCCAGGATAATTTAATCTCAGGATGTCACTGGCTTGTTTTTACAGCTAATGCATGTCCTGTTTTTAGTGTCCTCCATATKTTGCAGCCTTACCTAAAAGTCAGTGTGGATCTGCACCTTTATGTTGCTTGGACAGCAAAGGTTCTTGTGTTTCAGTTAGATAAGTGTKATCTCAAAAGCTGAAAGGCAGAGAGACCAGAAAGTGAGTAMATATATCAATGAAATATTGGTTTGCTGGTTTGGTCTTTGCTCTCTCACCATGATGGGGGTACTGTGAAGGCAGCACCTGTGATCTTTGCATATAAWAAGCTCCTCTTACCACACAGCAGARTCTCTTCCAKACCATTAAATAATGGTCCYGMTAACCAAGTAAAGATTCACCCACATGCYTCATTGAGATGTGTTCAAAACTGAGTCAATAYRCTTTAATSTTTAGGTTCTTTGGTAAGCAAAAGCTGCCTTGAGCTAGGCTGGCAAATCCCTACCTGTGCTGAGCATCTCTAATTAAGGGCWGTGGTTAAATTGGGAGCAGACAGTAACAGCTCTTTTTCTTCTAGGTTTCCATTCTACTATGAACTCAAAATAGCTTTTGTAGCTTGGCTGCTGTCTCCATACACAAAAGGCTCCAGCCTCCTGTACAGGAAATTTGTCCATCCAACACTGTCTTCAAAAGAAAAGGTAATCACATGTGCATGGGTCCTCTCTGGGTGAAAACAGAACTGTGTATGGTGTGTTTAGTCCAGTCCCTGTATCATTCATTTTCATGGAAGGACTGGGAGTTGCTGATTCTCTTCCTCCATCATTTGATCACCTCCTTTTGGTTGATGTTTTTGTTCTTTGTGGTTGTTTTTAAATATTGGCATCTGTTCAGTGCACTCACAGTTATTAACTCATCTTGGTGCAGTTGAGAAGTTGGGAGGCAGGGGGATAAAAATACCTCCTGAGCTGCTTTGCATGTACTGGCTGATTATAGCTGGAGTGCTCTGTTGTGGCTGGATACAACAAATAAAAAAACTTGGTCTGGCAGCCAGGACTCTTCAACTTTGTTCCCAGCTCTGCCTAAAACATTGTACAGCAATGATACAAACAGCCCAGGCTGTCTAAAATAGGCTGAGCAAGCACATGCCTGGCTGGGAGATGTGTAGTGTGGTGAAATAAGGCATGTAGCATGTTGAGGTCCTGAGTTAAAAACTATCTTGCTCAAATTAAAGGTGCTAATTTTGGGAGGGGGACATTACAGCTTAGATCATTTGCCTGCCTAGGAGATTCCTGTGGCTGTGAATGGGACACTGTCAGACAGACCCATTTGGCTCATGTGAATAAACAAGCCAAGAACAGTTATTGGTCACATATCAACATGCAAACTGCTGAGTGAATAACTGTTCCCCGCTTTGGCAACTTAGAAATGAAAGCTCTCTGTTTAGCCACAGGCAGTGCAGGAACAGTTGTATCTCAGTCCTGTYCAAGAAGGACAGTGGGGATCAATCCCCTGTCTCTGCTTCCCTTTGCTTGTGCTTCTCCCAAGTAGAGCTCATGCATTTTGAGTTGACACCTCTTACCTATGAGGAATAGGGAGAGCAGCCAGCAACTCCTCACAGCCTCCAGTCCCTACCAACCCAGTACATCCACCAGCTGAGTTGTAGAAATTATAGCCCTCATGATCATCCAGACCCCAATGTCTTGAACGTGGGAGAATAAGTGCAGGAACTTCCATAACTGTTTCACTGTATATTGAGCAGCATCAAAGCCCAGAAGCTCTAGGCTTGCCAATTCCATGGGCATCTGAAGCTGGGCTCTGCAGTGATGTGCAGAGATATCCCAGATATTTCTGAGACCACCTGTCCTGGACARAGGGCAGTGCAGCTTCAGCTGCCCAGTGTCATCATATGATTATTTTTAACTATGAGGCAATCCCATTTCCCTTTAGAGTCCTTGGTTTGCAAGTTGTTACTAGTCCATGCTGCTTAGGCAGATTTCTGTTACTTCCAGGACCCCAACTTTGGGTCCCAATATTCTGTTTGTAGAATAAAGAATTCCCAAACCCTGCAATGGGAGTTACTGCCCCCCCCAGCAAACATTGGCTGTGAACTTCTCTTCAGCCACAATGGAGGAAACGGAGGACACCTACCCCCTTAAAATACAACGTGACTCTACCAAGAGGCTGGGAGCATGAGCCTGAACTTGTCCTTCTTGTGCCTTTTTAATTGTTTTGTTGTCTGCTCTGACAGGAGATCGATGACTGCCTCATCCAGGCAAAAGACCGGAGCTATGATGCCCTCGTGCACTTTGGGAAGCGGGGGCTGAACGTTGCGGCCACAGCAGCAGTCATGGCAGCTTCAAAGGTAAAGGTGCAGGTCAGGATGGTGACTTATTAACATTTTATCTGCATCCATTGCCAACAGCAGCCACGGTGTGGAGGGGGAGAGATGGTGGGGGTAGGGGTTCTCTCACTGATTTTGTGCAGTGACCTGTAATTTGTGTAGTGACAGGGAAAAAGATGTGGTCTGAAGTTCACAAAGGTTAAAAGTTCGTATGCAAGGCATACACATAACATAACTGGTGTGTAATTCTCTGCAGACATGTTTATACAAAGAGTGAATGGGAAGTGCTGTTAGCTGCTTTTGGAGGACAAATAGATACTGGATTGGAGAGGTCTCRTCTGAAGAGGTGTATCCTGTACTCTCTTCCTTAGAGCCAAACCCAGAAAATAGCTGTTATCCGTTTTTCTTTTTCTGCATAAAAGCTGCAAGGACTTGATAACTGCATTTTGTRGTCCTGTCCTCTGGCCATGGGCTATCATGGCTTAGAGTCCATGTGCACAGTGTATTTTGGGGATAAGAATTGGCTACAGTACCTGTTGCAAAAGGATAGTAAGAAACATATGGATGAGAAGGGTACTGGTAGTAGGAAAAACATGAGAATGGGAGTTGATGGAAGTTATTTTCCTTTGCCAAATGCTTTTCCTATGACCTCARGCACATCATTTTAGTATGTTTTTCTGCAAAAATGCATAATCCTTAGGAGGCTAAATACCATAAAGTCTGTAAAGCCTGTTGAATGCAATGCGTTACAGAAGTGGGGAGTCCAAGGGGTGTGCCATGCTCATGGGATCACAAGGATATGCAAAAGCCAAAAATTGCCTCCCTTTTCCCTGCCTAGCATTGTGCAGACTATGTTGTTAGGCCTACTGAACTGTTGTTCTTCAGTAGGGAGGCTCTTCTAACGCAGGGACTGTGAGATAATCCAAATTTGGACTGAAACCTGGGATAAATGTGGAGCTAGGGCAGTGCTGTGTATCATATACCCAATGAAATAACATTTTTGTGATGCCTCCAGGACACTTAACACTTTTGCTGCTGCCATGTAAGCCTGAAGAAGTCACACTGGGGACATAAATAGGCTCTAGGAATGCCAGTTTTGCATCACTGCCTTTGCTCTGAGCCCCTTCCGACAAGGTGCTGCAGACTGTCTATGCTAGAGCTGTTTTTAGGACACTAAAACTATGTGTGRATCCCAAAGGAATTCTGGCTCCTGTCTAGGTAGCTCCTGAAAATGAGAAGCTCAACAGTAACCYAAACCCACAGTGCCAACCTGTTCCTCCATCAGGACTGCAACAGTGTCTGCATCAGCTGTTCAGCTGGAATGAACAGCCAGCACCACAGTTTTCCTTCCCACTGTTCCACTTTCCTGGTGTTTTTTCTTAAGAGTCTCTCTGCCTTGAAATGTGGCTCCAGTGGCAATGGGGGAAAGAGGRAAGAGGCACCATGGTACAAGGAAGTTGTTTTTTTTTTATTAGTTGGTGAAACTCCCCATTTAGTGGTGGAAGAAAACTGTGACTCATGTGGTATTGCTGTATTACACATCTGCCAGCACAACTTGAGAGAAAACTGTTAAAATATTGCAACCTGTAAACGGGCTGGAAGAGCCTTTCCTACACACTACTTTGGGGAGGGGAGAATGATTTGTTAATAAGATTAAGAGGATGCTATTGAATAKATTGATTGATTTTTACAACAAAGCAAGATCTGTTCAAGTATTTCCTTCAGCCTTGACATTTACATTACTCTGAATGTGTGAAGAAAAAGCAGGACCCCTGGCTTCCCTCAGTGCTTTGGCTTGTGGCCTCCATCAAGTTGCTTGTTTCTGTGCGCCTCAGRGTGCAGATCCAGCAGAGTGTGAGCTGATCTGACAGCTCTCCTGCTCCAAAATGAGGTAATGCTGCAGCTCCCAGTGTGCACCAGCATTTTGGACCTCCTCAGGTTATCTCTAATCTATCAGAAAGCTAATTRTGAAAGAAAAAGAAAGGGATATGTTTTTTTGAGCCCACAAATATATCTCAAGTGCCTGAGCCAGCATAACAAAAGGAATGGAACTGCATTGTCAGGAGTGACAGAGGRAAGGAAAGCAAGATCATCCCTTCCTGGTCTTGGGAAGCAGACAGATTAACTGTGCTAATCCAATCTGTTCCCAGTGTAATATCCAGGAATGGTTAAAGCAGCTTCTGTCCTTTGCCCTTCTGAGACAGAATGTGCAGTTCTGGCAGGGAGAGCTSCCTGGTGTGAGTTACAGCCTGGTGYTGCAGKACCAAAGTGCTGAGCTGGGGTTCCTCAGGTATTCAGGATGGGTGAGTGTGGACATTTCTCCGTGTAACTGTCCCTGCTGCTGTGAAGGGAGTTGTTTCCCAGAGAGGAATRATACAAAAACTGTTCCCACCTCTGCCTGTTGTAGCCCTGGTTTTCAGCTGCTGTCAACTACATGTCAACGCCTTTACTTGCTTGCTTGAGAAGGTATAACAGCCAGATTATCCTGTGTGAGAGAAGTTTAAATGTCTAATTATCTGGAAAACACTTTGAGCAGACAGATGCCAGACCAGACTGCAGTGCTGTCCTTAGGGAGAAGTTTCCAGGGAAGGAGAAAGAGAATACTATTTCTAAGGTTTATCATGGCTTTCCCAATGCCAGGATTTAAGCATATCCAGCTAGTGTGTGTTAAATGTTGAGTGTAGATGGGAAAGTGAGCCATTCGTTTGGTTTCAGCCTTTAAAGGGTTGTGTTAAAGTGGAACCTATAGAGATGATGATTTATTTAGAAGCACTGAGCTCCTGCAGCTTCCATGGAAGACATGGCTTTTATCAGCAAGTGAATGTGAGGATTATTTACTGCTTTACTTAGATTACTGGGTGAGAAAAAGAYGCTTTTGTGTGCAGAAATGGACCCTCAGACCTTGCAAATCARCATCATGCAGTGGCAATACACTACCTGCAGGGCTGAAAAGGGACTCTGTACAGATGTGTTTTCAGTAAATTAGTAGAAATCTAAAGGCTCCTCTACCTGCAGAGCATGTCTCACACTGTGCATAGCTCTGTCCTCTCCTTTCTATCTGAGCTGTGATACGTCATGGTCTTTTGTCTCTGATGATAAGATCTTTGGGCAAGGCCCATCTCATCATTCTTTTAATCCATCGTATTTTTTTAATCCATTCTTYTTATTCATAATTTTTAATCCATTCTGTTTATCCATGATCTTTTTATTCCTGCAGCACAATGTGTCTGGCTCTCTGATTACCATTTGTGTGTGACAGGCTKCTGCTTATATATTTACTGCAGGCTAAGATGCTGCAGGATGTGCACAGCCACACCTTCTTTATCTTTTATCCCCCAGCCCTTTCCCTTTTCTATCTTAAATAGCCTATGGTTTCAATTAACCAACTGCAGCCTTGTCCTTGCYCCTCCTCCTGTTCCCTTCCCCTGCTCTGTTTTGTTTTGAAGCCACAGTTGTGCTAACGCTGGCACAAACCTATGCCAGTTCATTTTACAGGCTGAGGAGCTGTCAGTGTCCCAAGCACCCCGAGTCTACCCAGCTGGCTCACTTGGGTGTTTTCTCTCTCTCCAGAGAGTCTATTTTTGATGGCTCTYTTAGCAAACAGAACACTGGATATCTAGTTTTATTAACCCTGCTAGGTGCTCAACACAGACCTTTTCCCTGCCCCCAGCAGATCCTCACAYCCCCACTGAGCATAATCTCATTTGGGGCTCTAATCTTGTCCTCATCACTTGGTGAATCTGTCACATACGGTGACTTCAAGTGGGTCAGTCCTAAGTGGTGGGATTAAATGACCAGGCAGTAAATCCTGCTGCTCTTTGTGTGTTTTCAATTAGTTCCAGCTAATTCAGCTGTTCCCACTCCCAAAGGGCCCTGAGCACTGACCACCATCATCTTTCCAGCTCACCTTGGGGGAGAGAAGAGCAGGAAAGGAGTTTGCTTTTGGGTCACAGCAGAGGGGTAACAGTAGCAGCAAAGCTGCACAGCCCCAGTCGTGAGGCAGCTACGAGACCTTGGCCAGGCAGTGCATCCATCAGAGGGATCCTGGGCTAAGTGGGCTTTTCATTGCCACAAATCAACTTTCAAAATAAGCAGCTGGGACCCACATGGTTGCAGCAAGGAGAGGCATCAGCAGCTTAGAGGCAGCACCAGGCTCCTCCAGCACACTTGTGTGTACTGCCTTGCTGTCACCACACTCCACTGTCACTGTGAGCCTCCTACCACCTGCTGCTTTGCCACATCCTGAGTCCCCAACTCTTCTATCCCTGCTTGCCTTCCCAGAAGCCTGCCCAGCTCTGCCATTGCCCCCTCTCTTTCTGCAGCCCACACCTCTCTCYCTCTCTCTTTCAAGCTCTTGGGTTTCCCAGATCCTGTTTGGATGTGCCCATATTCCCCACCCCGAACAAACTAATTCTGCCAAACAGACCGATGCCTTTCCCCATATGAAGACAAATCCTGCTCCCAACCACTTCACCATCCCCGAGCTGAGCTTCAACTCTGCTTTTCAAAGGACATCTGGAGAAAACATCCCACTGCCAACAGATCAGTGTACTCCAGAGGTTTCTGATAATGTTCCTTCCCCTGCCTTTCTCTTGTCTTTCTGTGGGCAGGGTGGCAGAGCAGCTGGTGCTGTAGCCCATTGCGTGCCCTCTTTTACTCAGGGGAGTGGGGCACAGCGTGGTGCTGGCAGTGGGYGCAGAGCCTTGGCAGGAGAAGATAAACGAGATGGAGGGAGCAGACACGCATGACTGGTGTCAGTGAAAAGCCCATTTGTGCCTAATAAGTCTGAGAAACAGTCCAGGAGCCTTTCATGCGTGGGGAAATGTGGCTCGCAGTGCTGCCGGAGCCAGCAATCGCTCTGTGTATCATTAAAAGGAGCAGGCACGCAGACAGGCAGGAGGATTTCAGTATGTGCATCCACCTCCTTAACTAATGMTCAGCAGTGCAGCCTCAGCATTTCCCAAACCACCTGTCTGGGCTGGCATTTCTATTCTGTTCACTTCTGTTTCCACCTTTGGGCT